CCCATGGGTGCAGCCCCAAAATGCACCGCGCGCCGCCCCCACACGGCGCCTTCCTGTTTATGCCCCCCCCGGTCCCGAGGGAAACACGCCAGGAGCCGGGCCCCCCACGAGCTCATTGGGGCGCGGGGACCCCCCACCCAGCCCTGCGCATTGTCCCCTCCCAACAGGGCAGCACCGGCTCCTGGGCCCCCTGAACTGGGGTGATGCCCCCCCCCAATACACACAGCATGATGTGACCCCCCCCAAAGCAACCACTGGGCCCTAGCACCCCTGGGTGCCATCGTAGCGCCAGGCTCCCCCAAATACCCTCCCTGGGACCTGCCTTCCTCAATGAACTGATCCCCCCCCGCCAGATATGTGCATCAGGGTYTTGGATACCACCCCCAGAAATAAACCTATATATTGGGGTCTTGCTCTCCCCCCAACAAGCACCCCAAGGCATGGATGGGGATGAGCAAGGAAAGGGGGTGCCGGGGTGTCCCCACGCAGGGTCTCCAGGCTGCGGAAGAGCGGACACCCAACCCCCAAAGGGCTGAGCCCCCTTATCCCAGCACCTCCCGGTGGGGGTGGTGGCACCCCAAAATGACATTTCCCCCCCCCAAGCAGGAGGCAGCCCCCAAGGGGGCTCCCCCGACCCCCCCAAACCCTGCGTGTCCCCAGCCCTAGCCCCGCGCCGGCGCCGTACCGGACACCGAGACCCTCATGACGGCCTCCAGCGGGCGGTTGTTGTCCAGCGCCGGGCTGAGGCGCAGCTCGCCCGTGCCCGCGTCCAGCAGCACCAGCTGCAGCTCRTTGCCCTGCTCGAACGCGTAGCGGAGCCGGTCCGAGACGTCGGGGTCGTGGGCCGGCACGCGGCCGATGACGCCGCCGGGGAAGGCGCCCGAGCCGTTGGCCACGTAGTTGTTGAAGAGGATCTCGAAGTTGCGCAGCTGGGGGCTGTTGTCGTTGGTGTCGCGCAGGCGCACGTGCACCGTGGCGCGGCTCACGAGCGGCGCCGACGTGGCCTGCACCACCATCACGTACTCCGCCTTGCTCTCGTAGTCCAGGTCGGCCAGCGCCGTGAGCTCGCCGGAGAAGATGTCCAGCTGGAAGACCTCGGGGATGTTGCCCTCCACGATCTGGTACATGATCTGCGCGTTGGGGCCCTCGTCGGGGTCGCTGGCCGTGATGCGGGCCACCACCAGCCCRATGGGGCTGTTCTCCTCCACGAAGATGTCGAACTCGTCCCGCTCGAACACGGGCGGGTTGTCGTTGACGTCCAGCACCGTCACCTGGATCTCCACGGGCGTCCGCCGCGCCGGGATGCCCTTGTCCACGGCATAGGCGCGCAGGGCGTAGAGCGGGACGTTCTCCCGGTCCAGGCGCCGCAGCGTGCGCACGATGCCCGAGGTGGACTCGATGATGAAGTCGCCCTCGCCGTCATCGCCGCCCTGGAAGGTGTAGAAGACCCTGCCATTGAGCCCCGAGTCRCGGTCGGTTGCGGAGACCTGGAGGACGCTGGTGAAGGTCGGTACGTCCTCGTACACAGAGCCCTGGTAGCCGTCTCGGAGGAACTGCGGCGCGTTGTCGTTGACGTCGCTCACCAGGATCTCCAGGTAGGTGGTGTCGGACTTCTGCGGGATGCCGTTGTCCCGCGCCGTGATGGCCAGGGTGTAGGACACCTGGTCCTCATAGTCCAGCTCCATCTGGGTGGTGACAGCCCCCGTGTCCGCGTTGATCCGGAACTGGGGGATGCTGTCCTCCATCAGGTAGGTGATGCGGGCGTTTTCGCCCGTGTCCTCATCCGTGGCACTGATGACCACCACCGTAGTGCCCACGGGCCGGTCCTCGTTGATGTTGACGGTGTAGTGGGAGCTCTGGAAGACRGGTCGGTGCGTGTTGGCGTCCGTGACGTTGACGACGACCTGGGCCGTGTCGTGGCGCGTGCCGTCGGAGGCGGTGATGCTGAGCAYGTACTGGCGCTCCAGCTTGTAGTCCAGGGGCAGGGCGAGCGAGATGAGGCCGCCGCCGCTCTGGCTGGTGATGGAGAAGCGGTTGCGGGTGTTGCCGCTGGAGATCTGGTAGGTGATGACACTGTTGGCGTCGCGGTCGACGGCGGACACGGTGAGCACGCTGGTGCCCACGGCCGCGTCCTCGTTGAGGCGGGCGCCGTACTCCCGCTGCGTGAACTCGGGGCTGTTGTCATTGACGTCGAGGACAGTGATGCTGACGCTGGCCGAGGACGCCATGGGGGGGCTGCCCTGGTCCCGCGCCTCCACGCCGAAGCTGTAGAAATCCACCGCCTCGCGGTCCAGCTCGGAGGCCACCACGATCCAGCCGGTGCTGTTGTTGATGGCGAAGGGGAAGCCGGTGCCGGTCTCCAGCAGGCTGTAGCCCAGGCGGGCGTTATCGCCCGAGTCGGCGTCGATGGCCTGGATGTGGATGACGGAGTAGCCCAGGGGCACATTCTCCAGCACGGTGGCCTGGAAGGGCGTGCTCACGAAGATGGGCGCGTTGTCGTTGACGTCCAGCACCTGCACCGTCACCAGCCCGCTGATGTTGGAGAGGGGCGGGCGGCCGCCGTCCTGCGCCCGGATGCGCAGCGTGTACTCCTTGCTGGCCTCGTAGTCCAGGGGGCTGACGACGTCGAGGGCGCCCGTCTGCGCGTCGATGTAGAAGTGGCCGCGCGTGTTGCCGCTCACGATGCTGTAGTGCACCAGGGCGTTGCTGCCCTTGTCRCGGTCGGTGGCCGTCACCCGCAGCACGGCCGAGTTGGGCGCCACRTCCTCGGGCACCTGCGCCACGTAGCGCTTGCTGCTGAACTGCGGCGCGTTGTCGTTGTCGTCCTCCACGGCGATGCGCACCGTGGCCGTGGCGCTGCGGGGCCCCGGCTCCTGGCCCTGGTCGGCGGCCTCCACCAGCAGCTCGAAGGCCTCCACGGCCTCGCGGTCCACGGCGCCCCGCGTGCGGATGACGCCGGAGCGCGCGTCGATCTCGAAGACCTCGTTAGGGCCGCCGCCGTTGAGGAGGCGGTAGAGGATGTTGGCGTTGGCGCCGGCGTCGCCGTCGGTGGCCCGCACCGTGAGCACCTCGTAGCCCACCTCCAGGTTCTCCCGCACGCTCTCCCGGTACTCGCTCTGCTCGAAGGCCGGGTCGTGGTCGTTGGCGTCACTCACGGTCACGGTGAGCGTGGCCAGCGCCGTGCGCCGCGGCGCGCCGTGGTCCACGGCCGTCACGCGGAACACGTGGCTGCTCTTGCTCTCGCGGTCCAGCGGGGCGGCGGTGGTGACGGCGCCGCTCGCCGGGTCCACGGCGAACAGGGCGTCCGAGCGGCTGTCGAAGAGCGCGGCCATGGCGTAGCGCAGGCGCCCGGCCTCGCCGCCGTCGGGGTCCACGGCCGTGAGCTGCGCCACCGCCGTGCCCGCCGGCTGGTTCTCCGCCACCGTCGCCTGGTAGCTCGAGGGCTGGAACTGCGGCGCCGTGTTGGTGCCGCGCCGCCCGCGCCGCCGCCCGCTGCCTCCGGGGCCGCGGCTCCCCGCTGTGCTCCCGGGGCTGCCCCCGGCGCTGCCGCCGCCCCGGGAAGTGCTGGAGCCGGTGGAGGAGCCGCTGCCGCCGCTGCTCTCGGTGCTGCTGTTGTTCCCGGTGCCTGGAAAGGCGCTGGTGCCGCCGCCGCTCCCGGTGCGGCCGCTGCTGTCCTGGGAAGCGCCGGAGGCTGCGGAGGAGCTGGTGCTGCCGCTGGTCCCGGTGCTGCTGTTGTTCCCGGTGCCTGGAAAAGCTCCGATACTGCCGCTGTTCCCGGTGCCGCCGCTGTCCTGGGAAGCGCCGGAGCCGGTGCTGCCGCCGCTCCCGCCGCCGCTGTTGTTCCCSGTGCCTGGAAAAGCGCCGCCGCCGCCGTTGTTCCCGGAGCCCTGGGAAGAGGCGCAGCCGGCGGAGGAGCCGCTGCTGCCGGTGCCGCCGATGCTCGTGGGAACGCCGGTGCCCGCGGAGGGCCCGGTGGCGGCGGGGCGCAGGGGCGGCCGCGCTCCCGGCGGGCAGGTGCCGGTGCCGGTGCCGGTACCGGGCAGCGCCAGCGCGGGCAGCAGCAGCAGCAGCAGCAGC